TTTATCAGCAGGAGGAGATGCTATGGGCAGACAAAAATACATAATCCCTGTATCTGGACTGATCGTCAGCCATATGCACTATACTGCCAAACCAGTCATTAAAACATTGAACCACTTTCTTACACCTTACACCAAACAGCTATTGCCCTTAAAACCCCTCCTCTGTCCCCACCTTAGGTTCTGTCTTCGCAGTTCACCCAGATTTGGTTCTGATTGGTCGGTTTCTATGCCAGTCAGCATAAAAAGCTCCACCTCCTAGGCAGCCATTGGCTCACCCAGATTTGGTACTGATTGGTCGGTTTCTATGCCAGTCAGCATAAAAAGCTCCACCTCCTAGGCAGCCATTGGCTCACCCAGATTTGGTACTGATTGGTCGGTTTCTATGCCAGTCAGCATAAAAAGCTCCACCTCCTAGGCAGCCATTGGCTCACCCAGATTTGGTACTGATTGGTCGGTTTCTATGCCAGTCAGCATAAAAAGCTCCACCTCCTAGGCAGCCATTGGCTCACCCAGATTTGGTACTGATTGGTCGGTTTCTATGCCAGTCAGCATTTCTGGACCTATCTCTGGGCCTGATCAGAGAGGTGGGGCTGATCAGCAGCCCCAGCTGAGGCCCGGAGAGAAATCAAGGTGGGGCTGCTGGCCAGGCCCGGAGAGAAAGAGAGAGGCAAGTGTTGATCAGCAGCTGCCACAGAGGCTCCGGATCAGACCCTGCTTCTCTCTGCAGGCCTCTCTCCGGGCCTGATACGCAGCCCCCTTGGCGGTCAGTGTTGGGTCACCGTGCCCACAGCGGTGGCAGTCAGTGCTGGTCTCCACGGCAACCCAGCACTGACTGGAGGACTGACTTACGGTCAGTTGAGCCTTCAGTCGTTTTGGACATTACAGACCCTGGGTTTTTATATATTAGGATTAGGATGCTTTCCTATGAGATTATTTTCTTCATAGGTAATTCCTATTTTTTTAGTGTGAATCTACTGGTAGTTTTTGTCTGAAAGCATTTTTAAATTTTGTCTTTATTTTTGGAGGATATTTTTATTGGACATAGAATTCTAGGTTGGCATTTATTTTCTTTCATCATCCCATTGTCTTCTGATTCAGTTGTTTTTGTTAGAGAAGCAATGTCTTTAATTTTCATCAGCTTTCAATAATGCTTTTCAGTGGTTTTCGTTGTATTTTGAGATGCTTAAGTTCCATAGACCCTCTTAATTTGTAGCTTGGTATCTTGTCAAGATATTAATTCTGCTCCACTCTTTCACTTTCTTCTGGAATTCTAGATATCTGTGTGTTAGATTTTTCTCTGCATCCAATATGTTTTATGTACTTTTCTGTATTTTTCATCTTTTTCCCCCCCTGTGCTTTATCTGGATAATTTCTGTTTTCTAGTTCACTTAGTGTCCAATCTGCTGTTACAAGCATCTGTTTAATAATTTCCTATTATGTATTTTTTAAATTCTAGAATCTCCATTTAATTTTTTTTATAGATTCCAGTTTCCTGGTGAAATTCTCATTTTGCCATCTATTTTCCTGAACATATCAATCACATATTAAAGTCTGTGTCTGATAATTACAATATCTAGATCCCCTTTTGGTCTTTTTCTGTTGTCTGATTTCTTCCTTGACTTTTAGTCATTTGATCCTGTCTCATAACATTCCTAGTTATTTAAAAAAATCAATGTCAGACATTGTGTATAAGAAATTATAGAGGGTCTTGATGATGATATTGTTCTCTAGAGAGGATTTAATTTTTTTCTGGTGGTAGTTAAAAGTAGGAGCAGATGACCTTGATCCAATACAGGGTTGAGATGACTTGATTCTTTGTTTTAGGCTTCTTAAGAGCTGATTTAAATCCAGTTTCCCCTTACTCCAAGAGTGTTGTCTTTCAGAGGTATCAAATGGAATCCTGGGGTGTTTGCCAGGGCCTCTCTTCTTGGCAGGCCCTGAACTGTAATTTTTCTTTTTCTAGCACTGTGAGGCTACCAAAAGTTCTGCTTACCTTTTTTGCTTCAAAATAGGCACTTTGCTTAGCTTTTGGCCTCTCACTCCCATGCAGGTTAGGATTCAGTGAATAACCTGAAGGGAAGAGCAGTACAGGATGTCCAGGCTCACTTTTCTGTGGTTGCCTTTTCTCTGGAATCTTAGCTCCTCAAATCCTGCCTGTCTCGCTAAATCCTGAACTCTAATCTCTGTCTCTGCAGTCCTGTGAGACTGCCAAAAACTCTAGTCTGCAGTTAGTTGCCTCAGAAGGAAAAAGTAATGGAGACTGTCAGACTTAACTCTGCATTTCCCTTTTCTCTGGTATTTTAGCTTCTTGCATGCTGGTTGCTTTCTTTGTTAATTTTGTTTTTAAATCCAGTTTTTATAGTTAAGAAAGCCAGGAGAATTGGTCTGATATAATCTACTCTGTGATAATCTGTAATGGCTGTCTTTAATTTTTTTTAAAATATATTTTTATTGACTTCAGAGAGAAAGGGAGAGGGAGATGAGAGATAATCATTGGCAGGCTGCTTCTTACATGCCTTCTACTGGGGATCAAACCTGCAATCTGGGCATGTGCCCTGACAGGGAATCGAACAATGACCTCCTGGTTCATAGGTCAATGCTCAACTATTGAGTCACACTGGCTGCCTTTATTTATTATTAAATACTAGAGGCCCAGTGTACGAAATTTGTGCACTTGGGGGGGTCCCTCAGCCCGGCCTGCACCCTCTCGCAGTCCGGGAGCCCTCGGCAGATGTCCGACTGACGGCTTAGGCCCACTCACAGGTATAAGCCATCAGTTGGACATCCTTAGTGCTGCTGCGGAGGCAGTGTGAGCACCGCTGCACTCGCCAGCTGTGAGTCCAGGTTCTGGCTAAGCAGGACTCCCCCTGTGGGAGCACACTGACCACCAGGGGGGCAGCTCCAGCGTTGAGTGTCTGCCCCCTGGTGGTTAGTGCGCGTCATAGGGACTGGTCGTTCCGCCATCGGGTCGAAACCGGCTCTCTGACATCCCCTGAGGGGTCCTGGATTGTAAGAGAGCACAGGCCAGGCCAAGGGACCCCACCAGTGCATGATCGGGGCTGAGAGGGACACGGGAGATTGGCCAGCGGGGCGGGTTTGTGGGACAGCTCCAGGGTGTGTCCGGCCCATCTTGTTCAGTCCCAATTGGCTGGACCCCAGCAGCAAACTAACCTACTGGTCGACTCTCTGCCCCTTGATGGTCAGTACACATCATAGCAAGCATTGAGCGGCCTTAGCATATCATTATGCTAAGTATATCATTATGCTAAGCATATCATTAGCATATTATGCTTTGATTGGTTGAACAGGCGACTGGATGACCGAACACTTAGCATATTAGGCTTTTATTATACAGTGGGGCCTTGACTTACGAGTGTCCCGACTAACGAGTTTTTCGAGATACGAGCCGTCTCTCGGCTGATTTTTTGCTTTGAGTTGTGAGCTAAAATTCGGGTTACGAGCCAGCTTCAGATACCCCACCGCTAGTTGGCGCAGCGAATGTCACAGTGAACGCCACAACATCAGCCCAGCATCACGTGTCTCACGCGTTCACTTTTTGATTTGACATACGAGTAATTTGAGTTACGAGCTCCGTCACGGAACGAATTAAACTCATAAGTCAAAGTCCCACTGCATAGGATTTATTGAATATTAATAATTTATAACAAGTATTATAAATAATTTAAAACATATATTAATTACTGCAATAAACTTGACATATAAGGATCCTGCCCTTATGCAGCTTATATTCTTGTAGGGAAGAGAGGTACTAAGTACATATTTATTTATATTGTGATAAGTAAAGAAGTGAGGGGTATTATGAGCTTATTACAGAAATTAGTTCAAGTGAGAGGAGGTAGTCAAGTACAGTTACCTTGAAGAAGTGATATTTGAGCATAGCTCTGAAGGATGAATGGAATTAACTTAGGGAAAAGTAAGAGGTTCTTAGAACTATGTCTTAGCAACTTTTAGGAGAAAAGAAGCATGGAAGGTTTAAGGCATCCAAGAAGGCCAGTATGGATGGCCTGCCTGATAGGCATTGGCTAAATTATGCCAAGCTTTGTAAACCTTATTAAGGATTTTCTTATCTCTTTTCCTGTGTCTTCCAATTCCGATCAGATCATTAGTCTGATTCTAATTTACCTTCTGTCCCAAGACAGTTAACTTTTTTTAAACTAGTTATTTATTCAATACAAATATGTTAGGTGCCTTTTGTAGGTAAGGCTTTAAATTAGGTACTGAGGTTGATTAATGACAATATGAAGCATTGGCTTTAGCTTTAGATTCAGATAAACCTGAGTTTAAATGTCAGCCTATTTATTAGCAGTGTAATTTTGCATCAGTTACTTAATATCTCTGAACCTGAATTTTCTTATGTGTTAAATACTAATAAAGGAAGTGATAATAGAAGGATTAAGTTAGCTAATTGGTAAATATATTCAATAAATGGTGACTCTTTGTAATATTATACAATTATAAACCATGAACTCTACTCTCAGGGTGCCTAAGTTCTATGACATATGACATACACCAATAGTTATAATACATAAAAGGTAATAAATGTTATAAGTAATGGGAAAAAAAAGTAGTGATACAGAGGGAGGAGATATTACATTCAGACTTGGAGATTTGGACTGTTTAATGGTGAATATAATGTTTGTTAGACTTGGAGCTAGCCATTTTCAACAGTTAGACATATAACTATACCATTCATAAACATTTACGTTTTATCAGACTGAACAACCAAACTCCTGATTTGCTCTCCTTCTGTCCTCTGCATCTTGGTGTAAATGGCAATACCATTCTTTTGATTGCTCAGCCAGCAGCCTTAATTAAAGATTATCTTTCACTCTTCACTTTCTCTGTATACATCCAATTCATTAACAAAATCCTGTCAGCTCCACTCTTAAGATATATCCAGAATCCTACCATTTTGGAAAGGTCCTGAAAAAGAACAATGGAGTATTATAAATTTATTCATTTGGTGATTTCTGTTGCAGCTGCTGCTCCAAATGTGGTCTCTACTGGAGCTGGGGGCACAAATAAAAGGTAGACTACCTAATCTATCTCCACTGCTGTCACTCTGGTTCAAACCACTATCATTTCTCACCTAGATTAGTTTAATAGCCTCCTAATTGGTTCCAGCTTTATGATCTATATATCTATATACTAGAGGCCTGGTGCACGAGTTCGTGCACAGATGGGGGGGTCCCACCGGACCGCCCCAATCGCAGCCGATTGGGCCGGGCTGGCCAGGGAGAGGGAATGCGGGAGGTTGGGGGCAGCCGATTGGGGGAGGGGCCGTGGGTGGTTGGCCGGCCCGCCCCACCCCCTGGTCGAACTCCCAGTCGAACTCCTGGTCCAGGGGACAATTTGCATATTAGCCTTTTATTATCTCTATCTATCTATCTATCTATCTATCTATCTATCTATTATCTATCTATCTATCTATCTATAAAGAGCCAGGGTCCGTAATGTCCAAAATGACCGGATGGACGACCGAACACCAGGCTAGGGAGCTGAGGGAGCGGGAACTGTGGGCCCAAACGACCAAAGGACCAGTCGGCTCTCATGGCGTGGCGGGGCAGTGTCACGGAGGCTGAGGAGCCTCGCAGGGCGGGGGCTTTGAGCATGGAGCTTTGTGGGGCGGGGAGGCAGAGGAGCATTGTGGGGCGGGGGCGGCGAGAGTGGAGCATCACGGAGCTGCTGAGGCAGAGGAGCATCGTGGAGCGGTGTCGGCTGAAACCGAGGAGCCCCGCGGGCCAGGGGCTGTTAGCATGGAGCTTCGTGGAGCTGCTGAGGCAGAAGAGCATTGTGGGGCATGGGCAGCAGAGGCCGAGGAGCCTCATGGGTCGGGGGCTGTTAGTGTGGAGCGTTGCAGTGCGGCAGAGGCAGGGTGGGGGATGTGAGCGAGGAGCTTTGCAGGGTAGCTAAGGCTGAGGAGCCTCGCGGGGTGGGGACTGTGAGCGTGGAGGTTCACGGTGCAGGGGCCACGGAGGTGGAGGAGTGACGCTGGACAGTGGACATGGCCCTAATTGCAGCTAGGCCTAGGGACTCTGCACAATTTAATTGTGCGCTGGGCCTCTAGTCCTATATAATAAAGAGATAATATGCAAATTGACTCTCACACAAGATGGCTGCCACAAGATGGTCGGCAGGGGAGAGCAGTTGTGGGTGATCAGGCCAGCAGGGGAGGGCAGTTGGGCGTGACCAGGCCAGCAGGAGAGGGCAGTTGGGGGCAACCAGGCCTGCAGGGGAGGGCAGTTGGGGGCAACCAGGCCTGCAGGGGAGTGGTTAGGGGTGATCTGGCAGGCAGGAGAAGCGGTTAAGGCTGTGGTCGGCAAACTGTGGCTCGCGAGCCATATGCTGCTCTTTGGCCCCTTGAGTGTGGCTCTTTCTAAGCCTTAGGAGTACCCTAATTAAGTTAATAACAATGTACCTACCTGTATAGTTTAAGTTTAAAAAATTTGGCTCTCAAAAGAAATGTCAGTCGTTGTACTGTTGATATTTGGCTCTGTTGACTAATGAGTTTGCCGACCACTGGGTTAGGGGCAATCAGGCAGGCAGGCAGGTGAGCGGTTGGGAGCCAGCAGTCCTGGATTGTGAGAGGGGTCCCAGATTGGAGAGGGTGCAGGCTGGGCTGAGGGATACCCCTCCTCCCCAGTGCACGAATTTCGTTCATCAGGCCTCTAGTATCTAATCTAATAATAGACAAACATGGTAATTGATCATACCTCTGCTACGCTTCCCATTGGCTAATCAGCAGGATATGCAAATTATCCCAACCAAGATGCGGCCGGCAAGCCACGCAGCTGAAGGGAGCAGGAGGCTTGCTTGTTCCAGTGATGAAGGAAGCCAAGGTTCCCCACCTGCCGCGGCCCGGCTCTGAGCTCCGAAAGCAACAAAGTTTCAATTATAGAAGGTAAATAAATCCCAGAATAAAAAAAAAGAACAAAAGGAGAGGCTGGGAGCTTCAGTCGCCGGCCAGCCTGAAAACAGCCCTCAGCCCCTCACCCTGACTGGCCAGGCACTCCAGTGGGGACTCCCACTCTAAAGGGGGTGTGGCCAGCCTGAAAACAGCCACCAGCCCCTCATCCAGGCTGGCCAGGCACCCCAGAGGGGACCCCCACCCTGAAGGGGGTGTGACCAGCTGCAAACAGCCATCAGCCCCTCACCCAGGCTGGCCAGGCACC